GTCCTTTCCAAACAAAGGATCAGCTACGAGACCGTCTTTGCTTAGGCAAAGTATGAGATCGCTGCTTCGGCCGATCAACTCTCACCTTTATCTCATCGGCGGGTGGATCAAGGCATTGAAAGACATTGTTTTCTCAATCCAATGACAACGATGATTACCTATGCATGATCTGAGGTCTTCCCTTTCCCTTAGTAAGTTGAACAAAAGAAACTGAATCTTTCATTCAGAAATCCTATCAGTTGGCCTTCTTTTGGCAAATTTAGAAGATTGATGTCACCAGTTGGTAAAAGCACTCATCCTAAACGTTCTTTGTTGACACCGGTGTCATCATCGTGGTTAATGACAAACCGATCATTGCTTAAGAGACGATTCCACCCACTTTTAGTTATATCAACAGGGGATCCCCTTAGTCGCGGTTGGGCACTCAGTACTGGGCACAACCAAACTCAGGCCATTATTCTATGGACTGCGCTCCTGGGTTAGTAAACCTCCTATGTCTGACCCAATTGCCATATAGCAGACCCATGAGCGTCGGCTGGTGGATCCCTTTAGTAGATCCTCTAATCAATTCCCAGTAGTCAATGCATCTTTGCCACTAACCCTGGAGCGCTACGGAGGCCTGTTACCACCCTTGGGAACCCCACCAGGAGCACCAGAGCCACAACGAGTCACCACACGACCAGCATGGCGCCCTTTTTTGCGCTCCTGACTAAGCGAGACTCATAAAAAGAGCTGCTTTATACATCTATTAGATCAAAAAGATCCAGGACATGACCTGTGCCTCAGTCCACGCCAATGTTTTTTTGTCATCCATGTACGACTTCAATACGACAGCACAGCCACCATATTACACACCAGTCCATCAGCAACTACACTTAAGGCCAGGCACCGGATTTGTTATAGCGCCACATGCCTATGATTTAAAAGGCTTTTTTTCCACGACAGGCCCGGGCATCAATCCAGTCAGCTTCACCAGAAGTAGGTTTCCAGACGGTCAGGCAGCCTACAACACATGCACGTTTTGGACACCAACACAGGAGGCTAGGCAGCAACCAAGGCGTGACCTAAGTGAATTCAGCTAGAGGCAAGCGTCAGCGAAGACTTTCCTCGAAAGATTTTTGAGTTTTGATGAACAGAACAGCCATTCATCCTTTCATCTGCTCCTGACGTCGCAGGGCTCTGATATAGTTTTGTTGAAAAGAACAGCAACTCATTGACTTTGCTCCGGTAGTCGCAAGGCGCATTAGATCGAGTTCCCGAAGCGCACCTGTTATATATAAAAACTCCTTACTAAGCAAGACGACTCCATCTCCTGACAGATGAGATTGGACTCAAGCCAAACAAAGGAAAGAAGTCACCACATTCTTACTTATTTTACGAAATAAGAAGAAAAACAAGATGAGATTTTCAGCAAGTCACTTGCTGAAAATCTCATCTTGTTTTTCTTCTTATTTCGTAAAATAAGTAAGAATGTGGTGACTTCTTTCCTTTGTTTGGCTTGAGTCCAATCTCATCTGTCAGGAGATGGAGTCGTCTTGCTTAGTAAGGAGTTTTTATATATAACAGGTGCGCTTCGGGAACTCGATCTAATGCGCCTTGCGACTACCGGAGCAAAGTCAATGAGTTGCTGTTCTTTTCAACAAAACTATATCAGAGCCCTGCGACGTCAGGAGCAGATGAAAGGATGAATGGCTGTTCTGTTCATCAAAACTCAAAAATCTTTCGAGGAAAGTCTTCGCTGACGCTTGCCTCTAGCTGAATTCACTTAGGTCACGCCTTGGTTGCTGCCTAGCCTCCTGTGTTGGTGTCCAAAACGTGCATGTGTTGTAGGCTGCCTGACCGTCTGGAAACCTACTTCTGGTGAAGCTGACTGGATTGATGCCCGGGCCTGTCGTGGAAAAAAAGCCTTTTAAATCATAGGCATGTGGCGCTATAACAAATCCGGTGCCTGGCCTTAAGTGTAGTTGCTGATGGACTGGTGTGTAATATGGTGGCTGTGCTGTCGTATTGAAGTCGTACATGGATGACAAAAAAACATTGGCGTGGACTGAGGCACAGGTCATGTCCTGGATCTTTTTGATCTAATAGATGTATAAAGCAGCTCTTTTTATGAGTCTCGCTTAGTCAGGAGCGCAAAAAAGGGCGCCATGCTGGTCGTGTGGTGACTCGTTGTGGCTCTGGTGCTCCTGGTGGGGTTCCCAAGGGTGGTAACAGGCCTCCGTAGCGCTCCAGGGTTAGTGGCAAAGATGCATTGACTACTGGGAATTGATTAGAGGATCTACTAAAGGGATCCACCAGCCGACGCTCATGGGTCTGCTATATGGCAATTGGGTCAGACATAGGAGGTTTACTAACCCAGGAGCGCAGTCCATAGAATAATGGCCTGAGTTTGGTTGTGCCCAGTACTGAGTGCCCAACCGCGACTAAGGGGATCCCCTGTTGATATAACTAAAAGTGGGTGGAATCGTCTCTTAAGCAATGATCGGTTTGTCATTAACCACGATGATGACACCGGTGTCAACAAAGAACGTTTAGGATGAGTGCTTTTACCAACTGGTGACATCAATCTTCTAAATTTGCCAAAAGAAGGCCAACTGATAGGATTTCTGAATGAAAGATTCAGTTTCTTTTGTTCAACTTACTAAGGGAAAGGGAAGACCTCAGATCATGCATAGGTAATCATCGTTGTCATTGGATTGAGAAAACAATGTCTTTCAATGCCTTGATCCACCCGCCGATGAGATAAAGGTGAGAGTTGATCGGCCGAAGCAGCGATCTCATACTTTGCCTAAGCAAAGACGGGTCTCGTAGCTGATCCTTTGTTTGGAAAGGACTTAACCAAAGGCGCTTTGAAGCCCCTCCCGAAAGAAAGAGGGCTTGGTTAAACGAGGGCAAAATCTTTCATCGATTACCTATCCTATTTAGTTCCAGACGCAGCCTAAAAGGAAGGTAAGAAATGGAATGGAATGGAATGGAATGGAATGGATGGAAGAGAATCCGGATCAACCAAGTCTCGTACGCCCAACCCAAAGAAGATAAATTTGTGATAGCTGAACTCACTGAACCCCTGAAGGAGATCTGTTTTAAAAAAATCGCTAAATGGGAACCATTCGGATATTTGGTTTAGCTGGCCGATCTTATCAACCCCGTCATAGGTGAGCCTCTATAAGGGGGTTCGGTTCCTTAGGTCTTTGTACAAGCCAATAGATGGAGTGCAGGTGGTCACGCTTCACTTACCTCGAAGAGCTTTTCAGCAAGACCTTTTCACCATATAGATTGAGGCTGAGGCCTCTTGTCAAAAGCCTAGTCTTGTTACACGCCTGGCGAGCGTTGTTCTTTATGGTCGGGCGAGCTAGCCTATTTATATTATATAGACTTCCATTCCGAACCTGACTTCGCTGGATTCTGAACTCATCCAGCTTGTAGATCCCCTTCGAACAACCCACTTTCTTTCTTTGCTTTGCTTTGCTTTGACAACTAACTTTGAAGAATACAGCGAGCCCTTAGCAGCGATTGAGCGTACAGATCAATTCGTCACTAGAGTCACCTCCAACAGTAATTGATTTGATCCCAACCATAAACTGAAGCCCTATCATGAGCGCGAGCATAATCAACTGGATCTACTGGGTCTATTGTACAGGGCACTTGTCTCTAGCTCTTGATATGGAAGGTATGCTACTACCATTTCTACCGCTTTTGGATCAACAACTGACTCAACCGTATCTACTAGTTCAGTACCTGTCCTTTCTTTCTTGTAAAAAAAAAGGCTATGCCGGTACTGATGCTACCACTGGTGCTTTGCCTCCCCCACTACAGGAGGTACCCCGGATAAGCTACTGAAGCCGCTACTCGTGCTAGTTAATCCATAATGAAGGTACGAGTGCTAAAGAATCTGCCGCTAGCTCTATTAATGATGCTATAGGTTACGGATCTAGTACGATATGCCGCTACCCCTATCTAGTCTAGTCTAGTAAGGGCTTTGCAGCCAGCTTCGAAAACGGGTTCCAAACCTGAGCAGAGTCTCTTCTAACAAAGATGGGATCAAGTAAGGACGCAACTACAACTGATTCACAAAAGCCAGGATGATTTCCAGCTCCATTTCCTCCTTCACTTCAGCTTCAGGTCGACAAAGGAGGATTTCATTGCTTGATCATTCAGATCATGCGCTACCTGCTCTTTTCTCTGGTTCAACCAAATAGAGTTGGTTTTCCACTGAACTCACTAGGTGCTTTCGGGCTTTGATCTCCCTTCTGATCTTATTTATCCCAGAAAGGTAAATCAAAGTGTGCTTTTTCCATCTCTTGCTTAGCTTGGGTCTGTGCTTAATGGCTGGCTCTCCTCAGTACCAAATGCTGAAGGTGGATAGTCTTTGCGAGCAAGGTCTGAGGTAGTCAATGGCCTTCTCTTTCCTTCTAAGAGTCATCGTCTTTTGCCATAACGTCCCAAGTCGTCGGTGGTGAACACGAAAAGCAGGAGTGGCCCACCAGTAATAGGAGGCGACAAGACGGGAGCAGACATAAGTAAGTTGCCTATCTTTCTTTCCCTTCTGTCCCCCCAGGTTTCTGATTCCTACAGGGAAGCATCCGACCAGTTCAATCAAATCAATAGTAGGATTCAATTTCCCACCGATGCTGCTTCCGAACCAAGGAGTTGAGATTCCTCGATGGATTCTTCGTTGCCTGCATTTGATTGACTTCCACCTCAAGCCTTGAAATTGGCGAGAATCTTATCCGCTCTTGATTCCTACCATCCTTTAATCCATAACCAACCGGCCAGGATCAACTGATGCTTCAACGGGAATGCGGGAATAAGATCCATCAAGGGAAGCAGTCGGCCAGCATTTGATGGACTTAGGCAGTAGCTAGCTTCTTTCTGATTCCTACTTAAGGTATTAACCAACCGAACAACCATCCGCCCTTCCCTATAGCCGGAAAGGTATTGAATCTTATGGATATCCTGCACCCGATATGTCAAAGCAGCTTGAAGCCCTGCAACTCGCGCATACTGAAAGGGAAAAAACAGGCCAATTCACGCATCTTCCGCAGAGTACCAGAAAAGCCCTATGAGCTCACTTTCCATTTGACGGCAAAGAGCAATCGGACCTGTGAAAGTCACATCTTTGACTAAGACTAATATACACGGGCTTCTGAGAGGATTCTTTAATCAACCAATGCAACAGAGTCCTTCATTTCTACCACTTACAAGTTGAGAGATGTTCCATTCCCAATGGCAGAAGAAGGATGCAAGCTGGAAGGACTTGGACAAGATATTCTTCACTTAGACAGGAGATGCAGCGCGCTTAGCGTCGGACCCTCTACATGGGTGTGCTATAAAACTAGGAGAAGAACAGAACTAAACGGATCAATTCCTTTGACCGGTCGTTTCGAGCTTCCAGTTCTTCTGGATTGCTAACGTGGTTCGATGACGCCGATGGAAGGAACCACAGGAAATTCATCCAACTTCGATCCCCTAAAGGCAAGTGCGTAGGCTATAGAATCCCAAATAGAGCGCCTTCGGCTCTAAACAGCTACTGTGCTTATTTGGTCTATCAGCTACTCGGCCAGCTACTGACCTAATTGGGAGCTTTTCAGTCAAGGTCGTCGAATTTAGAGGTCCTTTCTTTCGCAAGGGTCCAGATCATTCCATTGGGGAGAAAGCAGGAGTGATCCATATATAGATGAATAGTACCAGTAGAGCTTCAATGGAAGGGCGGTGCTAGTGCTCTCACTTACGGAAAAAGAGGCTCCCGCATCAGAAAGAAGAGCGGCACCTCAACCAGCCACAGCCGCATTAACAGTTCGCGTGAAATCAGACTAAACCAAGGCCTTAGGTAATAATTGAGATGCCTTCAATTCAGACAAGAGATGACGCACGCTTCACAAGGAGGCTTGGAAATGGCGTACTTATTGCACCTGGCACTAAGAACTCGAGTGCCGCTGCTGCTACGGGGGAGATTTTTGAAAAGACAGGAAGTGCTATTGGACTTGGACCCTTGCCAGTTAATAGCATTTGCCTTACCCGATTCCAAAAGGGATTGATTCCCGGGAAGGCAAATGCTACCTTGACAGAAGACTTGACTAAACTTCCATAACCTTGAATGAAAAAATAGAGATTTCGATATATCATTAAGGGAAGAACTATTCCTTTACTGATTGGAATGATATTATTGAAATTATATTCCTTTTATTGCTTGCACCTACCAGAAGGAGGAGAGATCCTTAATTACTGATATCGAGAAAGCAAGGACGCTATGAGTGCTCGCTAATGTCAGCCCTTTGTTTGTTTGTTTGTTTGTTTGTTTGTTTGATTGCTTACTTCGCTATCCAAGCGGGATGAGACTTTGCGAGAGTTTCCAGATGAGCAGGAAGGGCTGGAGGACGTATTACCGGAAGAGAGGAATTTATTTGAAAGAATGGAAAGAACGAAAGCGACGTACGTACTGGATTGACTAGCGTGTGCCAACTATTCTACTTCCCTATTTCTTGCTTTTTCACCTCCCCTTATTGGTGCACTCTTTCCCCCAATTCACCGATAGAGAAGAAAGAGATAAGCAATGACCGGACTAGACCAATGAAAGCGGACCAAGGTTTTTATTCGTTAGCCAAGCGCGCCTATTACAGCGCCTCTATTACAGAAGCGAAAGCGATGTGCCCTATTGACCAGCCGAAGAGCATCCTTATAAATGAATGGGAAGCAGGCCCGGTCTATATTGCTAGAGTTATGTTTATTTCACCCCCCACGTACTCCTCTATTCTTATATTTGAATTCCGTCTCTAAGCTTCCCCCTTAGTGCCTGCTGAGACTTATTTCCTCTCGACTATAGTTGAATGGAAGTTTCATTTCCTAAGTCTCAAATAATGTCTTTTATTGAGTCCCCATAGTGCATTCCCTTACATAATCTGTAGAGTCATTTTTCACTAAGAAGGATTGCAATATAAAAAAGAGAATTCCAGATTGAACTTGACCCATATAGGATCCAGTTCTACATCTTAGCGCTGAACTAATGAATAGAGATTGAGCTTCACTTCGCGAGTCGGGAATGGCATCATTTATGAAAAAGTTCTAGCGTTGACAAGAGATGAGCTAAAGAGGTGGCCGGGCAGTTGACCAGGCCCTACCACATAATTATATGTTGGGCAGCAAGCAAGAGCTGCGTCGGCTTATCCGGAAAAGAATCTATATTCTTGCCACCCTAAATGCTACTACCTCTTTGCTAAGCACAGGAATGCTTGATCGAGAAAAGCAAGCAAAGAAGCAGCAGGATACGGAATATGAAGGGGCTGGGGGTAGAGCCAATGACCAATTGAAGAGTTAGAGACTACAGTATAAAGCCCTCAATCATGCTCTTGCCAGTAGAATAGATTGTATATACTCTCGCCGATTAAGGAGAATTCTGCGCTCCACGAAAAAACATAGGGGTCGTCCTTATTACCGGAATTGCTTAAGGAAGGAAAAACAAAAAGTGCCCCTATGACTCTGGTTCTAGTGAAAGCGATGAAAATATAGCTGTGCTCCAGTTTTTCGGGTAAAAGTTCTATACGGTGAAGAGCTTACTTATGAGCAAGGCGACCTTATTAAAGAGAACATTCGGGACATCAAAGCCGATGCGATGGTAATCTCGTCCTTAGTTGCCGAAGATAATGGAGGTTTCAATCCGACGGATCAACCTTAATTGGCAGGTAAAATGAGGCCTCGACGGAGATGATGGATGGGAACTCCTACTCTGACTATAATTGCGATCTCTAAGCGGGATTTTCAGTCATCTATCCTTTTTCTTTCCCTAGCGACTGAAGTGCCCCATAAGCTATAAGGGCGAGCTATATGTAACAATTCCGTGAGCAGCGATTGAACTGAACGTTCCAAGTGCATCCAGCAGGAATCGAACCTACGAATTTGCCCAGTTGGGCGCTTTAACCATTCAGCCATGGATGCAAAGAGACTCAGCGAGTGAACTAGGTTTTGGTATTCCTTCTCGAGCTTCTATTTCTTCCGTTAAAGGAGATTCGAGAAAAGATGGAATAGGAAGACGTGTTTCCAGAACGAACAAGATACGGGTTGAGAAGGGGGAGTTAGCAAAGTTAGACAAGATTGGAATGGGCATAGGAACATGTATTGATGTACCAGATCGGCTAATGCTCCCAGGTTGATGCGATGTATTCCACCAGTTGACTGAAGACTTGATTATTGGTATATCGATCGGTCCAGCACGGATTGAAATAGAAGCCGGTTCGACAGGAAGCTTTTGAAAACGCAGTGCACCCAGGTAAATAAGGAACGAGATGAATACAGAGGTTAAACGCGCATCCCACACCCGAAAGGTGCCCCACATAGGTCTTCCCCGAAACCCCCCAGTAACTAAGGTAAACAACGTAGAAAAAGCACCCATTTCTGTACCGGTTCCGGAAGAGCGAAGAAAAAGGGGATGTTTTGTTAATAGGAACAAGAAAGTGTTTATAGCCGTAGCGATATAAACAAGAATACTCATCCGAGCCGCAGGAACATGTACATAGAGAATACGAGAATTTCCACCTTGTTGAAGATCTAGTGGTGCTACCCGAAGACTTAAATGAATAGCCATCGCTGTTAAGAACAACCGAGATCCAATGAGAATTTTCGCGTAGCTTCTGGTCTTTGACATCAAAAAAGAAGGTTGTAATAACGAAACGGACATGTGAGAATTTGGTCCTAGCTAGTGGAACAAAAAAGACATGGATCTATATTCAATACGCAATCAAAGGATTTCCCCCCCAAAAATCGAAGAATTCCCCTTGCTTTGTTTTCGCTCCGCTCGTGCGTGGCACTCCTTGCTCGCGGAGCGGCATACCGAAAAAAGAAAGGTTTTGGAAGACAAAAAAAGAGATTCCCTTTTGTGACCAAGAGCCCATCCTTGATCCAAGCCGAGTTTTGCATTCCTTAGCTTGGTGCAAAAGGCTTCTCGCCTTTGGGTCCTTTTTCAAGCCCATCTCGAATACGATGCAGTAGGGTACTCGTGACCCTGCTGGTGGCTGCCACTGCCTCACACTTAAATGCCGCCAGCTCTGCCTTCCTACTTAAGGCATCCGCGACCTGGTTGGTCCGTCCAAGCTTATCCTCTAGCACCATATCAATCAAACTTGGCAAGTTTGTCTTGCTTGCCATCGTCCCTGTTTTGGCGTGAGTTTCTTCTGGGTCAGGAAGTCACTCGTCGCCACATTATCCGTCTTGACCACGAATCGTGACCCGCCCCCACGTTCTCAAGTAGTGCACTATTGCTGCCATCTCCTTCTCTTGGACCGCGCCTCTCGGTCTCATTGAGCTTTCGGCTCTCATATGCGATAGGGTTACTTTTGGGGGCAAATGAAGGGTTAGCTCCCATTACTACACGTGTTATGACATTAAATGAGCCCACGTGGGATGACAAGACGAGGCACGTGACGAGGACATCAACTACTCAGTCAAATGGGTCTAGCCGAACTGACCAATGTGTTCGGCAAGGTAAAGAAAGAGCTCGATTCTCATTAAACCGAGCATACCAATGTGCTCGGCAAGTATCAGAAGTGCTCAACTCTCATTTTGACCGAGGTGTTTGGAACAAAAGATATAAAGATAAAGATAAGCCTTTGCATTTTGAATGAACGAATCAACAAAATTGTAGATGTCAGGAGGAATTGTTGGAGAAATATCAACAACTTCCCAAACTGAATCGCTGAATTAAATGAAGGTATGCCACCTTGAATCAAAAAATCATGAAACCCTAAGGGGAGGACCATCTATAAAAAACAGAAAACTCCAAGGTGAGGGTACGCTGAACTCTCTTGGTCTTCTCCATTCGTTTCAGTCTCATTACTGACTTAAGCATCAGAGTGCCTTCGATTGAAGCACTTCAATCTTGGACAGTTTGTTCGTTTTGCAGGAAGGAGACTGAGAGTCTCAAGTTCAGAATTCAGCCAATATCAGAGATATCCATTCATCGTTCCTGTAGGAGGTATCGTTAATTTTTTGCCTCTTACAACTTTTAAATTACTAAATATCAGGCTTAACACTAAACCACCTCTAAGAATTTGAGCTATTTCGTACGTTTAACATCATTCATAATTAATTTCTTGTTTAATTTTTTACATAAATCAGGATAAAAATAAAATTTTATCAAGCTAAAGAGAGAAAGACCACATTCTCTATATAAAGGAGTGCCATTTTTGCCTTATTTTCATGAAAAATTAGAAGTAAATAAGAAATGAGACAATGTTAAGTGAAATGCATAGTTCAGGAGTCTAAGTGTAATTTTTTATAACAGAAATACACAATACTATTGAAAATAATTTTTACTATTAGATTAGTAAAAAAAATAGCAACTGATCTTATGAATATAAATAGTATTCACTACCAATCTAATGACTTAATTTATTAAATTTTCAAATTAGGCCTGCAAATTAAGTATGAGCGTTAATATTTAAAAGATATGAAATAAAATTTTAGTTACCATTAAACCTAAAAAATAAAATAAAGTCACTAAAATGAAATCATATCAGCAACAAACTGAATAACAAAAAATAAAATAAAAAATTGTCTCTTTGACTCTTTCCATTGTTCTTTTGCTGGTGTCAT